TTGTTCTCAGATAAAGTCTTTAAATATGCTTGGTAGGCATGAAATGTTGGCTGAGCACATATTTTAAGTTGCTATATGAGAAAATTGAAATGAAGTTTCAAATTCTATACCACAAAGTACGTGATAAAAAAAGAAATCATACTAGTCAAAGAAGTAAAAGATACAAATAGGGAGATCACTTGCTTCCAACTGAACTTCAACCAGTAACTCAGCTAGTTACAAATACTAGCTTGACAAATTTGTTTACAATCCTTAATGACTGACAGCACAGGTATACAGAATAATTTCATCTCAAGTAGCATCCCAACAGAAACAGAAATGGCAAAAGCCTAAACAGACTTCTCCATTATATGCCACAAAATCATACATCAGTAATCAAAAGTAAGATGTCTACACTGTCTTTAAGCAACCTTCTTATACTACTAGTGGATTTTAGAAATATATCAACCTAGCTAATAGACAACTCCTAGCTGATCTTATCTAAAAATAAAAAGATAAAACAAATTATCTTCTGTACGTTCTTTTCTGCCAGTATATAACTACTTTCTTAGGGCCTTATTTTCAAATATTTATACCATAAAATTTAGGAAGAGATTTATTCAATCTTTCACTGAACTCTAGAAAAGTATGACAAAAGTGATCCCCATCCCTGAAAAGTCTATTTTTTTTAATCCAGTTCAACCATCATATCACAAGACTTGTCATTTAGCACTTAATAAAACCCTATGAGAGCAGGGGAGAGGGAGAAGGGCCAATATCATATTATAATAATTACATCACATGGCATTAGATAACTAATATCTCTTAGGAATGTGCCTACTCCTTCATTTATATCACTTATTCATTCTAGAAGCTGATACTAAACCCAATCAGTTTCTATTTAACTTCAAGTTCAGAGTGAAAATAAATGTCTAAATCACCATCTTCATTTTTACAGAGAGGATAGACAATTAGTTTAAGGAAAAAAATGTAAGAATGGGCACATGCCTAACTAGTTGCAGATGTGAGAGCCAAAGTTTTTCATCTATCAAATGAATTTGATAAAATTTAAATTATTCTAAAGAACGTCTTAACTACAGGTCACCTAAGAAATGGATCAAGGGAGGACTGGAGTATAGCTCAAGTGAAAAAGTACCTGCTGGGTAAGCATAAAGCCCTGAGTTTAAACTCCAGTACAACCAAAAAGATTAAAAAAGAAAAAGTAAGCTGGGCGCCAGTGGCTCATGCCTGTAATCCTAGCTACTCAAGAGGCTGAGATCTGAGGATCACAGTTCAAAGCCAGCCCGGGCAGGAAACTCCGTGAGACTCTTATTTCCAATAAACCATTAGAAAATCGGAAGTGGTGCTATGGTTCAAGCGGTCGAGTGCTCCCTTGAGCTGAAGAGCACACAGACAGTGCCCAAGCCCAGAGTTCAAGCCCCACAACCGACAAAAGAAGGAAAGGAAAGGAAAGGAAAGGAAAGGAAAGGAAAGGAAAGGAAAGGAAAGGAAAGGAAAGGAAAGGAAAGGAAAGGAAAGGAA